TTAAATTCATCAATCAATCCTTTCATTTATGTGATAGGCCTGCATTTAAAATGAACATTTACCATAAATTAAAGGTATCTTATATTATTAGATACGTTATTATAAAACATGTTTTAGTTAAGGAGTTATTGATACTTCGAGAGCAAAATAATGATATAAAACCTTGATAAAAATGCACTTTTAAATACTAATCAGGAGGCGTGTTAAAAGCTTAGATAAAAAATAGTTCGGTTAAGATTTTATCAATATTTTTTTATTAGTTTTATATAAAAATAAATTTATAATTTTTTATTGAGTTATTATAATGTAATTTTCAATCTGATCATTATATTAAGCTAAAATTTTATGAGAGATCTTAAAATATATTGAATAAAATCTTGTTAAATTTTTATGATAAACGAAACTTGGTAGTGTTTTAAAAAAACCATGAAATAAAAACAAAGCAATTCATTAATGGTAAAATGGTTATTTATCATTAAAAAAATAAAACAAATAAGCTCTTCCTTCATTTTATACGTTGCCGAAACAAATAAGCTCTTCCTTCATTTTATACATTGCCGACTAAGACTGTGTTTGGTAGTGTGGTAGCGGTTGTTTTTTAAATAACTTTTTCATGCCGAAATGCATGTTAATGATGTATTTTTATTTTTTAAAAATTATTTTTAACATCAGCACATTAAAACGATCCAAAACATACAAACCATGTTAAATTTTAACAAAAATAAAAAAATAATTTTTTTTTGAATTTTTTGGGAACGCAAGTTCAATTGCGTTCCCAAACAGTCCCTGAGCAAAAACAAGATAGAAAAATAAAAAAGACGATAGAGAAAAGTAAAGAAAAAATATAAAAAAAATGAGAGAATAATTTTGTAAACTTACAAAGTACAACTTATAAAACACTGACCCAAGGAAGAATTAAGTGAAGAAATTATGAAACGAGAAAGGGAAAAAAATTAATTATCTTGTTTTTCTGTTAACATGATATTGTTATTTTATCAAAGTCAAGAAGTTGTTATAATATTAATTTAGATTTGATTATAGATTAATTATATTCCACAAAACATTGAAGGATATAACTTCAATAGTGGATTTATTTTTACTTTCATTTTAATTTTATATACTTTCAAATTTATTTTTTAATATGTTGGGTGATGTATTTGAATTAAAACTTTAATATTAACTTTAAAAATTTATATATATGAGTTAATAATTGATTTTAAAAAATTATATATTTATTTAATAGCCCAGGACAAGAAAAATTCCAAACTCCACCCTTGCTCACATTTTTTTTAAAAAAAAGATTAGTCTCGTTTAGTATTTATATTTGCCTCTCTAAACAATTATGCTTGTTGAGGATCAAATTTATGTTCGTATCCTTGCAGTGACATAGCGATATCTTAATTGTTAGACCAGTGTTTTATTGGTAATTTATAGGATATTTGAGAAAAAAATTGATATTGTTTTTTAAAATATATAAAAATAATATTTTTTTAAAAAAATTACTTTAAATATTACTATATCCAAATATTTAAATTTTTTTTTTAAAAAAAACAAAAGTTCAAGAGAGCGTATGGTAATCAAAGTCTGCAACCAATGTTTTTTTTATTAAAAAAATAGAATACAGAACATATTTAATGAGAAAAATTGTCTTATGACTTAATTGCTTGTATTAAAAATGTACGAGGATACAGTAAAATAGTAATTAAAATACAAAAAGATATCTTGTCTCGAGCGAGCACACGTTGTCAATTGATGGCGTATTGATAAAGGGCAGTCATGTCTCCGTCAAAAACAGTGTGTTACGCAACAAATAATAATAATAATAAAAAAGCAGAGAGAGTATTTTATTTTACTTCTTGTTGCTTTTTGGTTCTCTTTTAGTATAATTATAATTGTTTTTAAAAATATTTTTTATAATAAAATAATTTTTTTATTTTAAAAAATTAATTTTGAGATTAGGATAGCAAAACAATTTAAAATATAAAAATTTATTTTTTAGTAAAAAAATTTAATAATTTAAAAAATACAAATACAACTGCAATTTTAATTGTTGCATTCAAAGCACCACATGATTTATTAATAATAAAATAAAAAAAACATATAATTTAATTAGTTAAATTTTAAATTTATTTTTAAATTTAAGTTTTCTCAAGAATACTAAAAACTTATATAATAATTAATTTTAAAATTCTTGTAATTAATTAAAATATATACAATTTGATGTAGACATCACATTAATAATTAAAAAAATCTCCTATTATTATCCTTTGAACTCTTAGTTGAAAATTTTACGTTATTTTTTACTATGTTAACCCTTTTACTTCCATTTTTGAAACTTTATAATCGTTCCTTTCAATTCCTATCACGAAAGTCTATCAGTTAGATTAATGTTATTATCAATTACTGTCTATTCTGAAATAAGATTCTTGTGTATTGATATAATAACTCTTTATTTTTTGTTTTATTTAAAGAAACCATCAAAAATAAAATTTATTAAATCAGGCTGACCTAATAATTCTCATACTAAGTTAATGTAACATAGATACTTAATAATAGCTAATCCATTCACTTTATACTTTATTTTATTAGTTAAGTCTGATTTATTATGGAAGAGTTAATTTGATTAAATTCATGTTATAAAAAAAATACATGATAATTTTGAAAATAAATATATGTTGATCTATTACAGGTTAATGATGGATTATTTAAGAGATGTTTGGAGAGGAATGGAAAGGTTAAGATTTTCAAAAATTAAATAAAAGGGTTATTATTGTCAAAATAAAAAAAGAGTTGAACCTATTCTAAAGTATGATTATAATTGTTGTTTAAAGTATTTTTATATTAAAATATATTAAAATTATTTTTTTATTTTTAAAAAATTATTTTTAAAAACACTACATCAAGATTATTCAAAATATATAAAAAATTATTTTTTAAAAAACACAAATATAACTATATCTCCAAATGCTTATATAATTAAAAAATTAAAAGCATAAGAACATGAGTTGATTTTTTATTCAAAGTGATTGGTTTGATTATGTAAAAAAATTAAATGATTTTGGCCTATCCAATTACGGCTGTGATTGTATCGATTTTTTTTTATGATTTTTTTTTTATTTTAATATATTATTGTGAAAAATAAATTTTAAAAAATAAAATAAATTTTATCTTAATAAATTAAAAAAATAAAAAAATAAAATTCATCAACCTTCAAATCACGAAGGTGATACGGCCACAGGTGAGGCATCGAATCAATCTCTATAGAGAAAAAATGCAATGGGAGATTTGGAGATGGCTTTAAACTTTAAAGATGCTCATCTCGAGAGGGGCTGACTTGGGAATTTTGATAACTTCTTGTACTAAGAGGATGTTAATTTACAATAATCTCGATTTAAAAATAAAAAAATAAAACTGCGAAGGTCGTTTGTGAGATGCCCTTTAAAGAAGCAAGAATATTTTTATTCGTTCAAGAGAATAATTTTTCCGTCAATAATAAATAAACAATATATTAAGAAAATATATAGAAGTAAATAAAGAATCAAACAAGGAATGATTCTATCCATTTAATAAAATATAATGTTTCCCAATACATGCTAAAATATTAATTCGCAGTCCATTATTCCCATTATTTTTTTTTATATAAAAAAGTATACATTATTTAAATCTCAGTCACATTGTGTGGGATGCGTTATTATCTAGGAAACCACTTTCAAATAACACATGGATGAGTGATATGAGAAGATCAGTAGCATTTCTATGAGTTTTTTTAATTCAACTGGATAATATATTGATTTGATGAAATTTATATCACTCGAATAAATTTGTAATAATTTAGCTATCCTGATGAAACATGGACCAAATAATTGGGTTGATATCAAGAAAAAAAATAATGTTATTTTAATAAAAATAACTAATAAAAAAATAATTTCGTTCACTAACTCATGGGTTTATCAAATAAAATATAAAAAACCCATCTTTTTGGATAGGTTTGGATTAATATTCTTTAGCTTTGGGTTAAAAAATCATATCTATTTTTTTTAATTTTATATTGAATCGAACAAGAAATATAACTTGATTAATTTAAAAATTTAAATTATATGGCTATCTTAATTAAACCCAACCAAAGCAATATCATTTAAAAAAAAAAATCATATCATTTGAACACCAGTGATATTTTTATCAACAATTCATAATTCAATGATTAAATAATGAATATTTTATTTGAATTAATTCTTGAATAAAAAAAATGTAGTAATGGACTTAATGGTCATTGAAGATTCATTCAAAAAAGATGGGCTTCAATACAAGATAATACTGTAGATAGACTTATTAATAGTAATTATACATATAAATAACTCACAATAAATATTCGGTGCTGTTATAAAAAATAATTTTTAAAAATATATTTAATTATAAATATAGTAAAATATTAATTTTTTATTTTTATTTTTAATATTAGTACAAAAAATTATAAAAAATAATTAAAAATATTAATTTAATATATTTTAGACAAAATGTTTTTTTGAAAGCATTTAAAAAAGACGAGTTGAAACTAGAAAAACAACTGTAGCATAAACATTGAAGAAAGAACAAAAGGATATATATATATATATATATATCACGAATCAAAATATCGCGACAAATTACGAGTGATGCTGTTTTATTTTCTTATAAAGACAAAATTACCCTTTCATCACGTAAAAGGACACCTCAATAATAGAAAGCAAAGGCAGAGAGAGAAGTTTTTTTAATAAAAAAAATCAATGAGAATTAAATGAAGGCTCTCTTTCTGTGTTAAGATGCCCTCTGAAGTTTTTAATATATCAACACTTAATATAAAAAGATTTTAAAAAATTATTTAATATATTTTCAAATAAAAATCTATTTTAAAAAACACATTAATCACATTACCAAAAAGCCCCTAAAGCTGGTGCTGCTGCATCTGCTCTTCTGCTTCACTATCTCTCCCTCCCTCTCCCTCTCCCTCTCACTCTCTGTCACTTCCCACACGAGTGCATAGCCAGGCAGTCGCTGTTTCCATTCTTTTCCTGTTCTTTTTATGGTATCGAGTTAACTGGGGCTGAGCTATTATGGGTTGTTGCCAATCTTCTTTTTTAAAACCACGGTTCTCCGATGATAATAAAAACAATCGACGAGAGCAAGAACAACTTCGGGAAAATCAACAGCAGCAGCAACATGTCCGAACTAAACATTCTCCACAGCCAACAAACGGAACGGAAAAAAGCGGTGTTCTAGGTGGAGGTGGAGGTGGTGGCGTGCCGTCTTTCACGGAGTTCTCGTTTGCTGACCTACAAGCTGCAACAAACAACTTTAGTCCCGAGTTTATCGTGTCTGAAAGCGGTGAAAAAGCGTCCAATGTTGTTTATAAAGGACGGTTACAAAATCAGAATAACAGCAATAACATAAGTTGGATCGCTGTCAAGAAGTTTACCAAACTGGCCTGGCCTGATCCTAAACAGTTCGCTGTACGTAAAGAAATTCCCTTCTCTTATTTTTATTTCTAAATTCATTCTGGGGTTTTGATTTTATTGATGGATTTTTTTTCTTGAAGGACGAGGCGTGGGGTGTTGGGAAATTGAGGCACAAAAGGTTAGCAAATTTGATTGGTTATTGTTGTGATGGAGATGAGAGGCTGTTGGTGGCTGAATACATGCCAAACGATACCCTTTCAAAGCATCTGTTTCACTGTATGTACCTTCCTGCATTATATGCATTTTTTTTTTTACATTTTTATTCACCTTTCATTTCCGTGGCTCTTTAGTTTATTAATGTTCATTGAATTTGTTTGAAATTCTAATGTAATTTTTTTGAAGTGAGTTGGATAATGTGGTAAGAAACTTGAATACCTTAAGATTAGGCTGCAATTTGCTGTAATAATAATGGGAATTTGTTCTCGGTGTAGCTAATGTGCTTGAGCTTTGTTTTTGTGTTATTGATGAGTACGTTGCGTTTTTATCACCCGAATGGATACGTGGAATATGAAACCTAATGGAAAATCATGATTGATGGTAGGGGATGGGTTTCCTTTTTCTTCTGTAGGAATATATTAAGGAATTGTTTGTGTTTGAGGCAATGATGCAGCTAATGGCATTTTGATCATGCAAGATGATTCCTGCATGGATACCTCAAATTAATTGTGAGGTGAAAGGAATTTAGATTAGAAACAAGGAAAAAATAAGCTGGAATTAGTTCTTACTCATAAACTACTGTGACTTGAAGGTATGAGCTGGGAGGGTTGTCAAATTTAATATCAGTCTGTAGCAACGTCTCTTGCTATTGTTTATTTGAAGCATTGGTATCTTGTAAACTGAATTGGAAAATTATTCAGAAGTCACTGGCAAATTTGTCTACCAGAATATTGCTATTTTTCTGTCCATGAATATGATTTTACTTTACTTTCTTGACAGGGGAAAATCAAACTATTGAGTGGGCCATGCGTTTGAGAGTTGCACTTTATATTACTGAAGCCTTAGATTATTGTAGTTCTGAAGGTCGTCCACTGTATCATGACTTGAACGCTTACAGGGTTCTTTTTGATGAGGTATTGTAAGTTATCTCTTTTGTGAGCTTGATGGTCTACCATAATTTAGTCTGTCAGTCCAAGATTGACAAAAAACATTTATTTGATTAGTTTAACATCTTTGGATGTTGTAAGATATTGTCCTCTGGAGGATCTATTGGGATTTATAAAAGGAGAGTGGTAATCTAGTGGATGGTTTTGGCAGAATGGAGATCCCCGGCTTTCATGTTTTGGATTGATGAAGAATAGTATGGATGGAAAGAGTTACAGCACAAATCTTGCTTATACACCTCCTGAGTACCTAAGAAATGGTAAATACTTTTACTTGTTATAAATCTACTTAGACAGTTGTAGATGTTGGTTTTTGCGACTTATGTAGTTCAGTAGTCAGTTTTCTTTCACTTCTGTGCTTACAATGTGTTATTTATGTCTTCTTTGGTGTTGGAAATCCTTGAAAACAATGGTTTGAAATGCATGATGACAATATTTTGGTTGAAAGTCATATCCTACTAGCTACACCTTGAAAAAAAAAAAAACTCGTTATGAGTTTTACAGAACCTGCAGCGTTTATCAGACAGAGGAGAAAAATCAAAGGGAATGCATGTACCAAATGTAAGAAGAGAACCATGTCTTTTCAAAATTGAATTGAATTTATTCCCAAATAAGATACAGTATCATCTTTTGTACAACCCTACAAAGCATCAAATTAGGGAATATACATTTTGAGCAAATTTATCTCCATTTTTCATGTGTGAAATTGAATTGATAACCTATAATGGTACTGAAGGTTTACATCAAATTGAAATGGAGATGTTATGCCTTAGCATTTCCCAATATCATTAGTAATGGAGATGAGGACATACTCAGACAATGCTCCTATTCTCATTAATCATTTTTTATTTCTTCCAAGCATGTAGGAGATCCCTCGAATCTTTTTTTTCTCCCATTTTTAGTAGCCTACAACAATATGATCCCAGGAGTTCAAGTCCCCACCATAATATTAAATTGCAGCCGCCTTTAATCACTCTCAATCTCTTTGTCCAAGTTTAATTTCTTCACCAAGTTTTGGTGGGATTAATAAAACATTCAGATTGCTTCTTGATAATCGGTCTTGATGCGTAGATATAAAAAATAATTTTTTTTTAAAATATTATTTTAATGTATTTTCAATTGAACAACACCTTTTAAAAATATCATGCATCACATTACTAAACACACATTAAATCTATATTTTCTAATTTGAAAATAGTTTTAAAATATTATTAAATGATTTAGACAAAAGAATACCAAAACCGTAAATAAAAAATAATTGAAAAAACATAAAATTTTATATTTCATTTTTAATCCAAATGCACATTCTAGACTTTTAATACAATACAAGATTTGCCCTAACTAGATATAACAAGATTTGCCCAATCAATTAATTTGTTCTCTCTTTAATGGATTGTATAGCTATTTATGTTCTTACTTATCCATAAGCATAGCATTTTGTGTTGATGAAAACTTCATCTCTTGAATGTGAAAAACTTAAGTAGTTAGCATCAATCTCTGGAATATAATGTAGTTAAAGTTGGCATGAACTAAAATTGTCCAAGACTTGGAAATATATCAGCCCAGTATAATGACTCGTGCCTGGCACATACTGTTCACAATCGTGCATTTTCTTTTCCAAAGAAATGCCTTGCTGAATTACTTTGTAATGCACAATAGCTCTCAATTTTTCTGCAATGCGATTCATTTTTGCTGGTATTGGTGAATGCTATCTAACTACATGCAAATAACTAAATCGAATGTCCAGGAAGGGTCACCCCAGAAAGTGTCATCTTCAGCTTTGGGACTGTCCTTTTGGATCTTCTTAGCGGAAAGCACATCCCTCCTAGTCATGTAAGTGATTCATATGGTCATTCTGCAGTGAATATCAGAATGCGTAGTTCAGCAAAATGATCTTATTATCTTATTTTTGTGGGACTCCAACATGGCTGTTCTAAATGAGATGCCATTGACTGCTCTCGAGTTTACGCATTATTGGTGAAGTAGCAGCTGGAGTCAAAATTGTTGCTCAACTTGTCCAGATAATTTTGACTGAACTCTAGTCCCAGCATTGGACTTGCTGTCTACTGTCAAAATCTTTAAATCAAGGGATAAATTCATGTCTTCAATGCTCAACTGCTTTTCCCCACCTATGAAAGAAACGAGTGTGAGATTGAGTTGCATAAGGATGTATCAGTCTCCATGTCAATACTCCATTGTTTGAACTTCGAACTTGTTTCTGTTAGTATTGCGCCCAAGCTCTCTGACCATGATAACACGTTGGTATTGCTATACTGTAACTAAATGGTTGAAGAGATAAAATGTAATTGACAGGAAATAGTGCTTTTTTAAATACAAGTAAATCTTGTAAATTTTTCTTTTGAAAATATTTTAAAGATTTATATTGTCAAATATCTTTAACAGTTGCCTGCATGGCAGACTAAGCTGTAGTTGCTGAGTGTTAGATTTGTTGTTGGAAGTTTGACTTATGTGCTCTTTGCAGGCTCTTGATATGATTCAAGGGAAGAACATTCTTCTCCTTATGGATTCTCATTTGGAGGGAAACTTCTCAACTGAAGAGGCGACTGTGGTTTTTGATCTTGCCTCACGATGCTTGCAATACGAACCAGGGGAGCGACCAAATACCAAGGATCTTGTTATGGCACTTGCACCACTGCAAAATAAACCTGATGTAAGCTGCCTACTCTGCCTCATTCCTTCAGTTTCATACATTTATCTTGTTGTGCAGTAATCAGATAATACTTGGGATCAAAATATAGTTGCTAGTGAAAATCTTGAATGACTAGATTGCTTGCCATAATAGAGCCCTGCTTATCTATTGATATCTAGGCATTAAAAAAATATTTTTTGTCTTGGCTGTTACCTTTCTCAATAAATTCCCACCCCCCACCCCCACCAAAGGAGGGGGTTGTATTTTCTGTTGCTATTCAGAGGTTTGCTGTTCTTCCCAGACAATGCATTTAGGCAGCTTTTGAGTAGTTTTGAAATGTAGATGGGTTGTATTCGTGTGTAAGACATGTACAATTTTGGAATCATAAATCTTTGTTTCCAGGTTCTGTCCTATGTGATGCTGGGAATTCCAAAGCATGAAGAAGCACCTCCTACCCCACAGCACCCCCTGTCTCCAATGGGTAATGCGTGTTCACGGATGGATCTCACAGCTATCCATCAGATATTGGTAATGACACGCTACAAGGACGATGAACGAAGCAGCGAGGTAATTAAACTGTACAGAAGCAAGGTAATTAAACTGTACAAAAATTACTTCTCATGATGTCCATTTCTATTTCTGATGAAATTTTCCATTTTACACGTATGTGCTCAGTTATCTTTCCAAGAGTGGACACAACAAACGAGAGATACGTTGGAGGCCAGAAAGCGTGGAGATGTAGCATTTAATGAAAGAGATTTTAAAACTGCTGTAGAATGCTATTCTCAGGTGTGTTCTCTTTATCTGTAGATGAGAAAATGGCTTTCCTTTTATTTGTTTTAATGTTCTCTATGTAATAGTCTTTTAGCTGTTGATAATAAGTTAAGAGACAACTAGTTACTGGGATACTTTGGCTCAATGCGTCCTGGTATTTACAAATGGCGGGTTGTGATGCTTTGGCTTAGGGTGGTAAAGCCTGGGTGAGTTGATGTAACAGACTAATAATTTGCCGGCAACATAGTGCCTGTTCGTTATCAACTACGAACTGTGGGATATGCTTGGATTAGTTTGATTACACGAGTCTGTTTTTACAGACTTCATTGTCCATGCCTTCCTACCACCTCATCTTTGAAAGTGTACGTGCTTCTGTATGTTGCTCACTTACATCATGCTTGCTTGTGCAGTTCATAGATGCTGGAACAATGGTATCTCCAACTGTTTATGCACGGCGTAGTCTTTGCCATCTCCTATGTGATCAACCTGATGCTGCTCTCCGAGATGCAATGCAAGCACAATGTGTCTACCCTGACTGGTCTACAGCATTTTACATGCAAGCCGTTGCCCTTGCCAAGCTTGACATGCACAAGGATGCTGCCGACATGTTGAATGAGGCTGCTACCCTAGAAGAAAAAGAGCAACGGAGTGGAAGATGATCTCGAGAAACGACTCTGTATTACTCTTCTGTAATCTGATCTGTTATTGTGGTTGTTGTATCAAATAGTGGGTTTGATGTAGAATTGGGAATCAGAAGTGTTTTGGCCCGAGGTGTACCATAGTGGTGGGGTTAAGGTATGACACGATTAAAAGATTGATATATTCTCTCAAGTGTAGGAGTGTCGAAGTAATAAATAACTCGACAAGACAGGAGTCGAACCACAGAAATGTTAATTGTATAAATTATAGATAATAATAATACAACAACAACTATAATAACAATAATAATAATAGTAATAATAACAATAATAATAATAGAAAAAGAAAAAGTTGATGAAAACTTTGAGATAAAAAATTAATATAAGGATTAAACAATGATAACATTAAATGTCAAGGTTAAATGATCCACTAATGATATATCAAATAAAAAAAAGGATCCACTAATGATATATCAAATAAATATAGTATAAACTCTTATTATTCAATTGGAAACCACACAC